CCCGTTGCCGTAGTAACTGACTGAGTTAGGTGATGTGTTGCTGCTCACCTGCTGAAGGTTGAGGCTGAGCTGAAGGCTGCTCGTTGCTGTAGTCTCCCTCAGGTTGAAGCAACAAGCTGCTGAAGCTTTGGTTGCAGGTTGAGTTGCTGTAGTCTCTTGCAGGTTGAGGCAACACGTTGCTAGTTGCTGTAGCTAAAGGTTGAGTTGTTGTCGTCCTGGTTAAAGCAGCCTGCTGGCTGTTAAACATCAACTATTAGCTTCCAAGTTGCTGCTGAAACAGATGGTGCTGTCACAGCTTTAATTGCTGCAATTCTTCCTGAGGCTGGAAGACTGAAGCAACATATTTCTAAACACTACAAGCAGTTGCTGGTTACAGTAGTCACCCTTACGTTGCAACAGCATCCTGTTAAACAGTCATTAACGGTTGCTGTTGGCAATCTGGTGTTAAATGCTCATCAACGGTTGCTAGTTGCTGTCGTCTCCCTCAGATTGAAGCAACAAGCTAATAAACATCCGTCAACGGTTGCTAGTTGCTGTAGTCTCCCTCAGATTGAAGCAACAAGCTAATAAACATCCACTAACAGTTGCCGGTTGCTGTAGTTTCCCTCAGGTTGCAGCAGGTAAAAGATTCAGTGACCTGGTTGCCTTTGGTTGCATAATCGAGTTGCTGCAGGTTGGTTGCTGTCGGTAAGCTTGTCGTCTTGTCTCCCCAGCTGAAGCAACACGGTTGCCTTCAGCCTTTAGTTGCTGCTGGTCTCCGTGTTGCGGCGACGCTGCAGCAGATGCGGCTGTTCGTGTTGCCGTCCTTGTTGCTGGTCGCTGTGACGTCACTGCGGTAGTTGACGGTCTTCGGCGTCGGTAACGGTCTCGCGCTCCCCGCACCGACCCCTGCCTGTCGGTGTGTCTGTGCGTCGGTCGGTTGTCGCTCCGGTGGTTGCCGTTGAGTCGCGGATCGCGGCTCGTGCCGGTGACTCACCGTCTCTCCTCCGTCTCACTGCGGCGCGCGGCCGGCGGCGGGAGCCCGGTTACCATGACAACCCGCCTGCAGCGGGATGACGGGAAGTCAGAGTGATGATCAGCCGGATCGATAATCTGATCAGTTCATACAAACCGGTGATCAGTAAATCTGTGGGTCTAAACTGGTCCCTTCATTCAGTCTGTTCGTTTTATGATGAATTAAATCAAAGTGTTTTTATTAAATTAATCCGTTTATATTTTAATTTAATTTAATTTAATTACGTTCGTTTATATTTGTTTTCATTTGCTTTATTATTTTAAAACTAATTTTATGATTTCTAATTTTTATTTACTTGATCTTTATCGTTTTAAAAATGTTTATTTCCTTTAAATACATTTAAATTGTTTTATTTTTATCTTTATTTTAACTACATTTGTTTGTTTTTTTAATTTAGGAATTATATTTATCATGTTAAATCTGTTGCTTTTCATGTAATGTTTATTTTCTCTCTCTTTTATCCTGAATGTCATTACATTTTTTGTGAATGTCTTAATATTTAAATTCATTTTAATGATTTATTCTGTCTTCAGCTTAATTTAATTTGTCCCTTTGTTTCTCATCTGTTCAACTGAAACTTGATTTAGCTTTTTTCCTTTTATTAAATAAATCTCCTTATTTTCTATCATCAGTCGCTCCTTTGACTTTTTACTTCTTTCTAGTAAGAAGTTTTACTAGTTTTTCTGCTTTAGAATCTCAGAGTTCAGTGGTCTTGAACAAAACTGAAATGAACACGCTGGTTAAAGTCTTGTGGTAGAATCTGTGTGAAAATGAATCCAGGATCTTGATTTAAATACTTGGATCTTTTTATTTCATTGTGTGAAACTGAGGGCTGCACGGTGGCTCAGTGGTTTGCACTGTCGCCTCACAGAAACTGTCCATAGGTGTGAATGTGAGTGTGCTTGGTTGTCTGTCTGTCTCTAAGTGTAGCCCTATGATAGACTGGCTACCTGTCCAGGTGAACCTGCCTTCGTCCTGAGTCAGCTGGGACAGGCTCCGCCCCCTAGTGAGGATGAAGGTCTAGCCATGATGGATGCAACTGGAGGAAAATGAGTTTTAACGTGTGTGATGCTGACTTTCAGGTGTTTTCTGTGTAAATGAAACCGACGTAGCTGCATGTGTCCAGATGTTGACCAGATGTTTGTTTGTTTGCTGCTCTGAGGTTATAAACAGGATGTTTTCTGTCATTCTGCTACAGACCTGGTCAGTGAAGTCAGCAGAACTTCAGTCGCAGCATCGAGGTTCAATGAACACACGACAACTTTGATCTGCGAACAGAAGAGGACAACCGATGAAAACACTTCTTACTTTAATTAAAAGCTGCTGTCGTTAAATCGTCATCAAAGTTGCCTCCTGTTACAAAAAGACAATAACTTCTTATAACTTGTTTAACTGTAAACTAAATTTTATAATTCATCCTACATCCACCCAACCAGTCGAGGCAGATGGCCGTCCCTCTCTGAGCCTGGTTGTGTCGGAGGTGGTTTCTCCCCTGCGTGGGTTTTCGGTTCCTTCCCTCTGTTGCAGACTACTTGCGGACTGCTGAAGCTTATAGGGAATCCAGATGTTTTGGATTGTTGGGTGTTTCTGTCTCTGCCTTTGTGAAGCGCTATGAGATGACTTGTTGTTGTAAATATGCGCTATACAAATAAAATTGAATTGTATTGAAAGATCCACTCTGATGATCAGTGATTCACTCGTGTTCTCCCATCAGCTTCTGGACTGTTCAAAGATTCTTCCAGGTTACTATTAAAGAACATTAGAACCTGGAGGACCCCCTGGGAGCTGAAACCAGCCGCTCTGATCGAGCTCAGCGGCTCCAGAGTTAGAGACCCACCAGTCTGACTGTCCTCACTGGCCTTTAATGTGAAACATGGACTGAACACAGAAACCCAGAGCCTCTAACTCAGGTTCTAACAGGAACCGAAAACACCTCCTCACAGTGGTGCTGCAGGAGAAAAATATGTAGGACCATTCAGCAGAAGGTTCTTTAAATAACCATTTACCTGGATCTACACACACACGGCTCTCCTCTTAGTTTACATGAACAGGTGAAGAACCTGCTTTGAAGAACAAGAGAACTTCTGCAGAACCATTTAGAGTTCCTCTTGTTGTATTCATGTTGCTGTGGAATAGCTTAATTATGTTCAGGTGTCATTTCTAACCTGAGCCGAGCTTCCAAACAGCACCTCTGTTCACGACATTTAATGAACTAATAAAAAGGAAATTACAGGAACACCAGGTCGGTACCAAGCAGAACACAAGTTCTGTTGATAAAGTTTATTTTAATAGTAAATCATTCAATCTGTTCATTTTATTTTTATTAAATCTGTTTTTGTTTGGTTGTTTTTTTTGATAATCTGTATAAATGTAAATATAAATATATCTGCACCCTTTATATCCTTGTAGCTAATGCTACAGTTTTATGGTTCTTATTTAAGTTTAATATTAACTCTTCGCTCCACGTTTTTCTGCTTTGAACGATTAAAGTTACTTTTATTTGAGTTACTTTTACTTTACTCTGTAGGTCCTGTTGTGTTGTTGCAGCGACCCACCAGAACTCATTCCTCGTACTGTGTAAACTATACCTGGCAATAAATCTGGTTCTGGTTCTGATTTTGAATTAGCTGGCTTATTTTTATTGTTAAATTATTCAGTAAAGTTTTATTTAATAATCAATGAAACCTGTTGATGTATTTTAAGTGAATGTGGACTGTTTGCTTTTATTTAATCACATTTATTTATTTATTGTTAAATACTGACAGGAACACGCGGTGAAAGCTTTCTGTGTCGTTCACTCGGGTCAGGTCGGAACCGTCGGAGTCTCTAGTTTCCGGTAGGAACGCTTCCGCTGCAGCACTCTGACGTCGTTTCCTGTACTTCCTGATAAAGGCGGCCCGGCGGGAAGCTCCGTGGGTCAATATTTTTGGTTTGATCGGTGAATCCGGAGGAATCCGAACCATCCGAACCGCAGTCATGGTGAGTGCTTCCCGGGATGAAGCCCGGAGGGCTGCCGGTGAACCGGAGCCCCGAATCTCTCCGGTTCACCGGCTCCTGCCGGTGACGGCGACGCTTTGAATGAACGTCTGATGGACGTCGGTGAGCGGCCGCAGAGATGAGCGTCAGACCGGTGCGGAACCAGGTTAAGCTGGTCCAAAACCAGGCTGTGTTCTGGCCAACACGGTCCGAACACACGTTAAGTCCGAGTTGAACCGTTCATACCGGATTATGTTCGGTTGAACTGGAAGCAGCAGTTTAACGTGTTCTGTTGGTGAGCTAACGGAGCTAACGATGCTAATAAACAACACAAACCGGGAACCAAGAAGCGGGTCACACGTCCCGCTGCGGTTCTGTTCACACCGAAGGCTGCTGTCTGTCCGGAGACTCCGACCGGAGAAGCTCGACGTGCTCGAGCAAAACGGTTGAAATGTGAGTCGTTGTTTACTAGCTCCGTTAGCATCGTTAGCTCCGGTAGCTGAACAACTGAACACCTGAAACTGCAGTTTCCAGTGAAATAGTAGCGACCGAACTGACCGCAGCACCTGCATCCAGCAGCTGGAAGGTGCTAATGGATGAGACCTGACCTCCGAGTCTCTGACCGGGACGTGATCCCAGCGGGACCTCGGAGGTCATGTTCAGTCCAGAGATGTTTAGTTTACTGTCAGAGAGGAAAGAAGCCAGAACACGTTGCCTGAAGGAGCTGAAGTCTCAGATTTTAGAGAGTTGTTGTTGAAGCTGCTCCAACTGGTTCCTTACCAAGGTGTGTGAGGTCACACCTGCTGTATGGATGTTGTAGAGGTGGTGGTGATGTCATGGTGATGTGTGTCTGTGATTGTCAGACGGTGGGTAAGAGCAGCAAGATGCTGCAGCACATCGACTTCAGGATGAGGTGCATCCTGCAGGACGGCCGCATCTTCATCGGCACCTTCAAGGCCTTCGACAAACACATGAACCTGATCCTGTGCGACTGCGACGAGTTCAGGAAGATCAAGTAGGTGAACACACTGTTTCCACGACAACCAGGTTCACATCGGACCAGAACATTTACAGACACTGAACAGCACCTTGTCACAGTTCACATGAGTTCACCGCTCGTTGGTCGGCTGCGGTCCGACTCTGGTTTCTTCTGATGATCCAGAGTTTGGAGGAGCTTTGAGCTGCAGCTGTGCTCACCAGCTGCCTTTCATACGGCCGGACTGACAGTCACGCTGCTTTATTACTCATCTCCAGATGGTTCTGTTGTCAGACAGCAGAACCAGGATGAAACTGAAGCTCCTCCAGATGCCGCGCTGACCAGCATCCCTTCATCTAGACTCTGACTTTATAGTTAAAGCTGCATTTAGAGCCACACAGTGAAGAGGAAAGACGTTCCTGTAGCTGCTCTGAGCTTCTTCACTTTAAGGACTTCAGTAGAAGGTTAGACTGCAGTCACGGTTCCTCTTTATTTACTGGAATCTGTCCGTCTGTGTTTCCATTTCATCCTGAGCTGCTTTCCACCATCACACTCAGTTTATCATGTGTTCAGATCAAGTGTCTGGTTGTTCAGGTAGTCGGTGGAACAGGAGTGTTTAGTGGCAGCTCACCTGCACGACCAGCCTGTCGGGAGAAGGAATAAATCCAGGTGTCCCTTCTGTCCTCAATACGGACAGAAACTAGGAAGTTCTGCTCAGAGACCCGTCATGTGGCAGAACAGTGATGCAGCAGGTTAAAGCTTTTTCTGTCTCAGATATTCTGAAGGTTGTCAGAACATCAGACCTCACACCAGGACCTCCACAGAAATCTAAGTTTCAGAAATCTCGTCTGGTTGTTGCCGGATTGATGATCTGACCAGTGACAACTGGAAGCAACACTCCTGTCGGGTCGGGCCGGGTGCCGAGTCTGTCGGCCCGGGCCAGGTACTGACTGTTTGTTTTTGGTTGTTTTTTTCCTTCTTCAGGCCAAAGAACTCGAAGCAGCCAGAGCGGGAGGAAAAGAGGGTTCTGGGTCTGGTTCTGCTGAGGGGAGAAAACCTGGTGTCCATGACGGTGGAAGGCCCGCCCCCTAAAGATGTAAGTCGGACCTGCAGCCAACCAGAACCAGAGTGGATGTGTCAGCTGACTGTTCAATAAAGCTTTATTTAAAACAGTGTTATTAACGCTGACCTCTGACCTCAGACGGGGATCGCCCGGGTGCCGTTGGCGGGCGTGGCTGGAGGTCCAGGTGTGGGTCGGGCGGCAGGTCGCGGCGTTCCTGCAGGAGCTCCGATGCCTCAGGCTCCGGCCGGACTCGCAGGGCCCGTCAGGGGAGTAGGCGGCCCCTCCCAGCAGGTAACCATGGTAACGGCAGCTGGCCCATGCTCGGGTGAGCTGTGATGTCGGTGCTGACGCCATCTTGTGTTTCCAGGTGATGACCCCACAGGGCAGAGGGACGGTTGCTGCAGCGGCAGCAGGAGCTAGCATCGCTGGGGCGCCCACACAGTACCCACCTGGACGAGGAGCCCCTCCCCCGATGGGCCGAGGAGCCCCACCCCCAGGTGAGCATGGCCGTCACATGTGGGTCATTACTCGTTGATTAGCAGGATGTTAACCGCATCGCCTAGCAACCACGAACAACACCTTAGCAACCAAGTGGTCACCCTTCATTGCTGTCATCACATCAAACCACATACACGCTCCTTCTGTGTGCTGAATGGCTGTTTGGTGGCTCCTCCCCCTGCAGGCATGATGGGTCCGCCCCCCGGCATGCGGCCCCCAATGGGTCCTCCGATGGGGATGCCCCCTGGTCCGGGTCGAGGCGCTCCGATGGGGATGCCCCCCCCGGGCATGAGGCCGCCACCACCTGGCATGAGAGGTAAGCTGTTGCCACGGTGATGGCTGTGGTCAGCCCTCTGAGAAGCCAATCAGATCACAGTATGACTTGACCTTTCTGCTTTGCCGTTTCAGGACCGCCCCCTCCCGGGATGAGACCGCCCCCACGACCCTGAAGAAGCTCCGCCCCTTCACACAACTACTGTATAGTTTTGTTTTTACTTCTGGTTTGTGTTTTTTAAATAAAGTTTCTCAGTTTGATCTCACTCTGGTTGTTTGTGCAATTACCATGGTAACCAGTTCAATAAAGCTCTGGAGTAACAGCCAATCAAAGTTCAGGTCAGCTCATTAATATTCAAACAGGAGGTCACACACTGACAGTACCACATACAAATAGAACCAGTACTGACCCAGAACATGTCTGCGTTGAGCCTGACAGCCGCTGCTCAGGGCTCAGTTACCTCTGGAGCCAGAACCACAAACACACCTGTCAGCAGGTCGACTGAAGTTCTGCAGGTACAGAACTGATCAGCTGTGAGTTCCCTCAAAGGTCCAGGAGCAAAGAACCAGAACTTCTTCACACTGAAGCTGATTCACAGAGTTTACACTGATTCTGGACTCTGTCATTGATGGGTGATCAGAACAGTGGATTGATCAGTGATCAGAACGCTGGATTGATCGAATGGCTGAGTTGAAGGAAACGTGTTCGATAACATCAGTGTTCTGAATTAAAGATAAAGATAAATGAAGACACGCTGTCGGATCAAGTATTGATCAGATTTATAACCTGATCAGTGACTGTCAGGAAACAGCCTCAGCTGAGTAACAATAACAGATCACGTGATGATGACGCGATGAAGGAGCTGCGGAACCAATCACGTTTGAAGCCTCTGAAATAATCGCTGTCATGTGACGGCTGTCATGTGATCCCCTGTCATGTGACCCGCTGACTTCAGTCGGAGCTGCAGCCAACTTCACCTGCGGAGCGACAGACCGGCCGAAACCAGGTGGAAAAGGTGAGCTGGACGCCGTGTTTGAATCTTCGTTCAGAACTTCATCTGCTTTCTGTCCGGTTCGTCCCGTTGGACCGGCTGTTAGCATGTAGCCGCAGTTAACTGGTGGAGCTGCAACAGGCTGTTGAGCAGAACTCCATTGAAAAATGTCTCGATTAGACTTTAACTTCATACCGAGGAACACAGAACCCTTTATTGGACCCGACTTCAACTCATTCTGAACCAGTGCCGTCAGGTGATCAGTGCGGCGACCGAACCTTAAACCTGAACCTCAGGTGATTCACAGCTGGGTCTGTGTTAGCAGTTAGCCGCAGCGAGCCTGCTTCCTGGTTCGAACATCAGACGGTTTTGGAGTTTCACTTCCTGTTACACAGAATCTGAGAGTGTGTTCCAGAGAGACACGAGGACAACATTTAAAGTGTTGGAGGCTCAGTCACACAGTGTAAACCTAATCAGCAGATCAATAACTGATCTGACTGAAGCCACCACGCAGCGCTCAGCCTGGTCAGCTCCAGACCTTAAACACTGATCCATGGAGCTGCATTAATGATTGATCGGAGTGAAACATCCTGCTGATTTGAATATTGATCCTTTTGAATAAAGTAGTTCTGCACTGAGTGAACACGGTTCTGGTTCCGGTCTGCTCTCAGATGCAGGTGTTGCTGTGCTACTTCCTGTTGGCTCTGCTCAGCGCAGACGCCGCTCCAGCAGCAGACGAGATCACTTACCTGCCCGGCCTGCAGAAACAGCCGGGCTTCAAACATTACTCTGGATACCTGAGTGTGGCCGACGGGAAACACCTCCACTACTGGTGAGAACACACACCTGAGCCGGTTATCACAGGTCGGCGTACAGGTGCCTCACCTGTCGTGTGGTCGTCCTCAGGTTCGTGGAGTCCCAGAATGACCCGTCCTCTGACCCGCTGGTATTGTGGCTGAATGGCGGTCCCGGCTGCAGCTCTCTGGACGGGCTGCTGACTGAACATGGGCCTTACCTGGTAGGTAGCTGTTGTCTCCGCCCACCCGACCCCCTCTCACCTGCCTCAGGGTGACTTCACAGCAACACCTGCTGTCCTCTGTCGTTGCAGATCCAGGACGACGGCGTAACGCTGCAGTACAACCCCTACTCCTGGAACAAGGTAGGTCATGTGACTCAGGCAGTGCTGTCACAGGTTTAATGCGTCCTGAAAGCTGACTGGTCCACTGTTTGTGTGCAGATCGCCAACATGTTGTACCTGGAGTCTCCAGTGGGCGTCGGCTTCTCGTACTCTGACGATCAGCGATATGTCACCAATGACACAGAGGTCAGCGACACGCCTGCAGCTGCACTCTGATTGGCTCACAAGTGTCCAGGTGTTTACAGTGTTCTTCCTGTGCAGGTGTCTATGAACAACTACCTGGCTCTGAAGGAGTTCTTCCGTCTGTTCCCCGAGTTCAGCAGCAGGCAGGTGTTCCTGACCGGAGAGAGTTACGGAGGAATCTACATCCCGACGCTCGCCGAGAGGGTGATGGAGGACGCCAGCATCAACCTGCAGGTACTGCTGTGGTACTACTGCAGTACTGCACAGTCCTACTGCAATACTACACCAGACTACACAGTCCCATACAGCAGCACTGCAGTAGTATACACTAATGTTGCAGTACTACACAGTATTACTGCACGATACTGCTGCTACTACAAACTATACAGTACTATACTGCATAGTGCTGCACTGTACTGGATGTTAATGCTGCAGGGCTGCACACAGCAATACTGAAGTGTTGCACAGTGCATTACTGGACAGAAATGGTGCAGTACTACACAATAACATGGCACAGTACTACCCAGTAATCCTGCATACTACAACACCTACTACTACTCACCTGTCCAACAGGGCGTTGCCGTGGGAAACGGGATGTCGAGTTACGAGATGAACGATAACTCTCTGGTGTACTTCGCCTACTATCACGGCCTGCTGGGCAGCCAGCTGTGGACCGACCTGCAGAACTTCTGCTGCAGCGCCGGAAAGTGCAACTTCTACAACAACCAGAACCCGAACTGCAGCAACAGCGTGAGTCTGGATCTGGAACTGATCTGAACCAGTCTGATCCAAAATGATCTGAACCAGTCTGTTCCAGTCTAAACTGGTCTGATCCATTCTAAACTGATCTGAACCAGTCTGGTGTGAAGTGTCTCAGGTGTTGTTTCTTTGCTCTGCAGCTGTCGGAGGTTCAGTACATCGTCTACAGTTCCGGACTGAACATGTACAACCTGTACGCCTCCTGTCCAGGTGGAGTTCACCACAGAGTCAGGTGAGCTGCGACCTTTAACCTTTGCAGCAGATTTTTATGTGAAAGTTGCTGTACCTGAACTCCTGGTTGTTTGTTGGTGTCAGCGTGGAGCGGGGCCAGCTGGTGATCAGAGATCTGGGGAACTCGTTCGTCAACCATTGGTATACTCAGATGTGGAGCCAGGTGAGTATGATGTGACCTGATGTTTCATTAAAGTTCACTCACCTGGCGACTTATACATACCTGGTGCTTCTCTGATGTTCAGAAGTTAAAGGGTTTGGCGTCCCTGCACCGCAACGTCCGTCTGGACCCGCCCTGCACTAACTCCACCCCCTCTTCACTGTACCTGAACAACCCGTACGTCAGAGCTGCTCTGCACATCAGCCCCAAAGCTCTGGACTGGGCCATCTGCAGGTAACACACACACCTGTCCTGCTGCACCCTCACCTGTCCCTGATTTGTTAATAATGTTGTAACACACCTGTTTGGTCTCTGTGGTGTTGCAGCGCAGAGGTGAACCTGAACTATGGTCGGCTCTACCTGGATGTCAGAAAACAGTACCTGAAGCTGCTCTCTGCTCTGGTCAGTAAACACACCTGGACACACCTGAACCCTGACGTCCTCCAGCTGTATTCACATCTTGAGATAAACATAAAGCATGACTTAGTGATGAAATATAGCTCAGTTTTCTGTCATGTGATAC